GCCAAGTTCAATAACATTATCTATATTTGAGTCAAAAAAGCGCTAGAGCTTTGAATTTGATATTGGAAATCATATAGTAAACTGGGTTCATAGGTGGATTTGGAGTTTGCACCAGAACCCCCCTTTTTTTGCCTATATAATAAATATCTCTCTAGTTATGGAACAAAGCTTACTAATCATTTCTGGTCCTAGTGATAGTAATAATAAATTTGGGTTAAGTGCCGATACTGATGATGATGATGGCTGTTCAATGATGACAATAAAGAAGATGATGATGTGTTTTCTAGCAAATTATATGATGGATGGGATTATAAAAAAGATTTTGGTGAAGATGCTTGAAAAAAGACTTGAAAGCTCGTCAACGCTTTATCCTTCTTAGGCTATTTACCATGTGTCTTCCCAATATATCTGATCAAGCAAAAAATGTATGATTTATCGTATTTTCTAGATTAATTCATTTGGTATATTAGAACACAGTGCATTATTGGATGCTCTAGCCCATCCTGTGAAAGGTTTAAATCTTTTCGAATACGATGAGCTTGGGTTTGATTTAATAAAACAATGTGAAGTTTTAATAAATCAAGCTCTGATGTTATGACACTGCATATAAGTATTCAAAATCCCTAGATCTAAGATCTTCAGGATGAAAGCTTCCTTGCCTTAATTGCGTAAAATATTTATTAAAATAGTTGGATTATCTTTCGAAATACCGTAGGTACAAGAATATATTATTACATAAAAAATAAATATAAAAGCTCAGGACACAGCCCGTGATACATATACTAACGTTAATACAGTATATATTAAGATAATATTAAAATCCTGTCGAAACTTAATGCAGAATTTTAGAAGGTGCCACGACAATTAGTACAAGTACATGTTTCATAAAAGTCCCAAGTACTGACATCCATAACTTTTTGAGCACATTGACCGCATGTACCTCCTGCATCACCGGACTTGCACTTGCAAGAAGTAGTATTACAATGATATTCGTTATAATCAGTTCCAACTAATATTATTTAAAATTAATAAATAATCAATAAATATATTTCAATACAGCATTATGACAATAATTGAAATACTTACTACAAACTCTTCTGTATCATTTGCATAAAGAATAATAGGAAAGAGAACCACAAGGAATTCCGTAAACTGAGGTAATTAAATTAGTGATGATAAATATCATTATCCCTTAGATTGTAGGGTTTCGCAAGCAAATTTGCCTGCTTATTTACTATAAATTCTCTTCTAATTTACTTTTATGAATAATTAATATTTTTAAAAATTTTTTTTTAAATTAATTATATAAATATATAATATATTATAATAAGTTTTATCTTTTAATTATATAATAAGAAATGTAATGTTATTTAGAAGCTAAAAATTTGTAATTTTTAAAAAAAATTTATTTTAAAAAATTTCATGATTAATCTATGATAAACTTTTT